TCCCTCTTTTCTTCTTCCCCTTCTCCCTTCCTTCCTTCCTTCCTTCCTTCCTTCCTTCCTTCCTTCCTTCCTTCTTTCCTTCCTTCCTTCCTTCCTTCCTTCCTTCCTTCTTTCCTCCCTCCCTCCCTTCCTCCCTCCTTCCCTTCGTTTTCTGCAAATCCAGTTGACAAAGCTCCCTAAACCACTGATCTGGGAGGACTGGGTCAGCTCATAAAAGCACTTGCTGCTCAAGCTTGACACCCTGAGTACCCTCCCTGGAAATCATGGAGAAAACCTAGATGCAGCAGTCTGCATCTCTCATCACAGCCTTCCTGCAGAAGGCAGGAAGCAGAGACAGGGGCCTCATCCACAAGTGCCAGCCAGCCGCTCTTTAATACACAGGACAACAGGGTGCGAGGAGGAAAGTTGTCTTCTGACCACATATACATGCTGTGGCCCATACACACAGCCTTCACACGCGCATATCCATCACACACACACACACACACACACACACACACACACACACACACACTTACACTCACACACACACATTAAAGATAATTCAAAGATAAACATACCCATCCACACAAAAACATGTTTGTAGAAATTTTATTTAATAATCACCAGTAACCAAAGCAACCAAGATGGCATTTAATAGGCCAATTGATAGGCTGTGGTATATCTATACAATAAAGTGTTATTTGGCAATAAGAAGAATGATCTGCCAAGCTACACAAAGATACAGATGGCTAGGCATGGTGGCGCACGCCTTTAATCCCAGCACTCAGGAGGCAGAGGCAGGTGGATCTCTGTGAGTTCGAGGCCACTTGGTCTACGAAGTGAGTTCCAGGACAGCTAGAGCTACAGAGAGAAACTCTGTCTCAATCCACCCGCCCCCCCAAAAAAAAGAAGATACAGATGAATGTTAAGTAGATATTGTGGAGTCAGAAAAGCCTATGGATAATTCTAAGTATACAATATCCAGGACAAAGCAAAAGCAGAGAGATTATAGACACCTGAGCCAGAGGAGAGAGAGGGCTCCAAGGACTTAGGCTGAGGAAGGCTGGCTAGGCAAAACACGGTGTTTCCAGAATAGCAAAGCTATTCCGTACCACACTCTGGTGATGAGCTCACCGTGCACTTGCGTTGGTCAAAACCCACAGAATCAAGGAAATATGAAACAGTCTCACTGGGGTGGGGTGGTTCATCATCACTGTCAGCTTAGCCAGATTTAGAATTGCCACGGAAAAACCAGCTCTGGATAAGTCCGTGAAGGTGTTTCCAGAAAGGTACAACAGAATGGAAGACCAGTCCTGAGGGTGGGCAGCACCGTGGCCTGGGCTGGGGTTCCAGAATCAGTTCACAAGAGGGGATGGAGAAACGGCTCAGCACCGACAGAAGCATCTGTCAGTCCGGGTCCGGGGAACCTGACAACCTCCTCTGGCCCCACAGGTACCAGGCAAATGCATGGCGCACAGGCATGCATGCAGAAAAACAAACATAAAATAAATTTAAAAAGGAGAGAGCTGGGCACCAGAATTCTCTTTCAGTTTCCTGACTGCACACGTAATGTGACCAGCTGCCGCTCATGTTCCTACCACCACGCCTTTCCCACTGTGATACTCCATCAAGATACTCTAGAGCAGTGGTTCTCAACCTTCCCAGTGCTGCGGCCCTTTAATGCAGGTCCTCATGTCGTGGTGACCCCAACTATAAAATTATTTTCAGTGTTACTTCATAACTGTAATTGTGCTACTGTTATGAATTGTAATGCAAATATCTGTGTTTTCCGATGGTCTTAGGTGACCCCTGTGAAAGGGTCGCTTGACCCCAAAGGGGTCTCAACCCACAGCACACCTGTTTTAGATGGATACTGTCAGGTGCTTTGGAGGACAGTTAGGATAAAAGGAGTAGTTTATCACCTTGGATTATATGTAGTCACTTGTTTTAAACTGATCAGTGCTCTGTGCCTTGCTAGGTCCATGAAGGACTCAAGAAATTTAAAGTAGGTTACATGCGGAAGAGCTGAATTAGGGAGTCAGGGTAACAGAACCCAGTAACAGACCTGGAGAGCGTGCTGGGAGTCGGGGTAACAGAGCCCAGTAACAGACCTGGAGAGCATGCAGAGAGTCGGGGTAACAGAGCCCAGTAACAGACCTGGAGAGCATGCAGAGAG